AGCTCCATGATCAAACTATCCATCTTAGAGAACAAAACTCCATCAAAATTCTAATATAATAATATATTTATCCTTTTCGACATGATTAGAATAAGATAAATGAGTGTGTTCACGTATGTGAACGTGTATAAATGTTTTTTTTTAAAGTTATTTCTTCTAAATGTTTTCTTTTCTTTTACTTTATTTAGTTTAATAAAATAATTCTTGCTTTACTGAATTAATTAGCTTTGATACATGCTACATGGCTTTCAACTATTTCGATGTTATAAAAACAAGAAATAATGTATCTTTTCAAAGAAAATAGATTTATATCGAATGGGTTTTGTGGTTATCATAGTAATTCCAATGGTTAAGATCATGAGTCAGTTGAAGCTAGACTACCCTGGAAAACCTGGAAGCACTGGACGGCCATAACGTTCTATTGTGGGACTCCTCAGCAATGTGCATCCAAGACCTCGCCTCCTGCGAGATTCGAACCCAGGACCTACTGGTTTCGCGCACGAGCACTTAACCACTAGACCACTGAGCCGGTCGGCATCGAACGGTGTTAATGTCTAACTTCAACTAATCCACGAAATTGGGCGACACATCCATCATTGTCTTCATCAAGTTACTATCTCACAACAGACCTAGTTGAATTCCACTGGTCACTACTTCTCACTAGAACTCCAGGATATACCTCTTGAAGCCAATCGACGAAACGGCCATCCAGTGCTTCCAGGTTTTCCCTAGCGGTCTAGCATGATCTTAACCAGTGAAAATAGATTTTGTTTGGTTTTTTGTGCACTGCATATTAAACAGGAAAATATTTACAAAAAAATAATAAATGGTTAACTTTCTTCAGTTCATAGAAGAATAACAACTAAATAACTGAACATTTTCACTATAATGCATTTGTAATAATACTGGAAAAGGAAATGAAAGATATAAGTAGCGGATAATGGTAAATTGTAATCCATAATATAGTAATGACAATTAGAAAAGTAGACAATTGAAATTAACATAATTGATCGTTTGATGCTGAAAATTATACATAAAAAGAGATAAGAATAAATTACTGAATAAAAATATCAATAAATTACATAATATATTCTCATTATGGACTGAAAAATAATCATCCATTTGAATGTAGATTACTGAAGTAAGTAATCCTAAACGATTAATTCACTGTAATAAGTGAATATTGTATCCAATGAAAATAAGAAAAGTTTGTAAGTGTATTTGTTATACTTATAATGGTTAAATTAGAGTATGATGTGTAAAACTGAATCATAATAAAAGGAGAGAAAATTAGTACTTATAGAGCTTTTATATCATTAGGAAAGATCTTTATACTCAGAACAGGTTACTTTGTTTTGAAGTCAAAGAATGGTCATCCAGTATGAAGATTTATCAATGTAACATCATGTCACTTTCCCTATGGAATCTTAGTAAAAATAGTTTTATAATCGAGCTCACACTCCTGCTACTCTGTCAACATAACCTTGGTTATGGATGTTTACCAAATATCCTTAGTGGGTAACAGTTTTATCTATTTCTTTCAAAACAAATGAAGATTATCCATTCTTCAATATACATGGTTTTACCTAGGTGAATCCACTTTTTCTTTGTCGGAATGAGGGTACACACCTTCATGTATTTTACTTTTTGAAAGTACCTTCTCTGTGGTTTTTTTTCCAAAATCCAAACATACAACGTTATTTAGATATCAGCTAATTATTCAAAACACTTCTAACTTTCTATCTTTGTTACGTTCCCGCATAAGATGCATTTAGTTATAGTGCCTTAATTTAAATTAGACAATAATCAACATAAACCAAACATTCTGTCAGCATCAGGCGCAGATTGAAAGTTAGTCAATATATGACTCTAAGATGCAGATCAGGAAAGTATAGTTTATTTCAATCCTTGTAGTTGTTCAAGTTTGCTGGTATCTAGTGAATATAACTTGTTGTAACTTAAAGCTTTATACTTCAGAAGACATCGTATTGGTAAGCGTCCGATGTTGAATTTGAATGTTTATATAGGTCTGATGAAATAGACAATTTGTTGTGTGGTGAACTGATACATAAAGTTTTAATTTAAAGTTCTACGAGATTTGGGCATAAATATGAAGCTATTGAGACAAGAAACGTAGTATCATTCGATAACGATGCAGGTCCGTGTATTCAACCTAAGTTCACACAAATATGTAAGGGTGATTGGTCGGACTTACTAAAAACTGAAGTATGTGAAACGGGTTTCGGACGTACAATTCAAAGGTTTAGTGTGATGATTTTTAACCGCGAAGCGTTTTCTTTACAAAAGAAACTTATAACAATGTTTGTCTACCAGTTGTTGAGTATTTCATAACTCGTAGATAATGACAATAATATTTAGTATTATCACACTGGCTGTATTTCAGTGAATCGTTTTGTGAATACTTTACATCAGGATTGCTTATTTTTTCTATATTGATACGATAAAATAACCAAGTACGTATACAAACATGGTACTTTAAAAAGTCACTTCCATTTCTTTTTGTCGAAATAATAGGAAATTCGATGGAGTTTTGTTCTCCGAGCTGGATTGTTTGGTCGTCGAGCACAAACGTCTGATAGAATTAGGAAATTTGCTTTCAACTTAGTCATCAGTAAACACAAGATGATGGTTTGTAATGACAATTATCTTGTTATGAAGAAAAAATCCTTTGATTCTCGCCACATTGTATGAAACATGTACTTTAACAGTTTGTACTTTCATGCAACTTCTTGAATCAATTTAATCTATTATTTGCTTTATAATTTGGGATCCGAATTTGTGCTTTAAATTATGAAATCTATCAATCAACCTTGATTAAAAAAATCTTGATTATTATTTATCTAGCCACCTACATTGTATGTATGTATCTTTATGTGGAATAATGGTGTGAAAGTTGAAGCATTAGATTTTCAATTATTTAGTTGAAGGTTATGTCAATTAATGGCGAAACAAACAATGATGAAATTACGCTGCCGTCACATATTCCGATCACTATGTTTGAAAGCTTCCCACTTTGATCTAGACCAAGTGAAATGAACCGTTGTATATTTCTACTGAAACATAAAAATTAAACAATGCAAGACTGAAGTTCTTTACTTCCATCCCTAGGGAGATTTGTGGGTGTGCATTGATGAAAAGAACAATTTTAGTATTGTTATATTGGTGAATTAACAAAGTATATTCGATAAAGGTAGATTGATTTATTTTGTCAACTAATCCATGATATAATAGTTTTCTAGTCTATCATTATTTAGTCTACTTTCATGATTTGGTTATAAATTTCTTATTGTAAAAGGATGTATCATGTCATGTTACCACATAGATTGTTTATCCTTTTCAAGTCTATATATATACATACATCTATGTAAGTTCGTTTAACTGTGTACACTTGTATAGCTACTAATAACATGTATTAAATGAATTATATTATTCCAGTTCGACGTACGTTTCGTCATATTTGAGACTCGTCAGCTAGATGTACCTGCATCTCCGAGTTGATGTTCACTCTGGGACTCAAACCCCGTACCATTCGCTTCAAACGACATCGCGTTATCCATTCAGCTACTGAGTCTTGATAATGAATTATATAGAAGGTTAATTAACCAAGAGAGAAACAGAACTAATCAGTGAAACCAGAATTTTCATTTAATTGAACAAGTAAAATAGATGATTAAGATCAAGCTTGTAAACTAACATTTTAATTATAATATTATCAGTATTAGTCGATTAATTGGAAAATATCATTTTCAAATTTAAACAAAATAAAATTTTTTTATATAATTATGTAACTAAAAGAAATGAGTACAAAAATATTCATATCAGAAGGGCTTTTAAGGGTATTATAATAATTTCAATAGTTGAGATCATGAGTCAATTGAAGCTAGAACACCATGGAAAACGTGAAAGCATTGGATAACTGTTTTGTTCCATTGTGAGACCCCTCAGAAGTGCGCATTCACGATCTCGTCTCGCAAGATTCGAACCCAGGACCTATCAGTCTCGCGCGCGTGTGCTCAGTGTTCTAAAGGTTAGGCGTCCATATATATATATATATATATATATATATATATATATATATATATATATATATATATATATATATATATATATATATATATATATATATATATATATATACCAATGGATTCATTAGACCCATGGGACCCATGTAAAATGAGAAATGTTATGATTATCAGTAGAATTTCTTTTTAGAAAAAGAGAACAAATATTTTGATGTATATACGATTTAGGTTATCAGAATTTACTATTAAATTCAGTTGGTATTCCAAGGACGATGAACTTTGGTTTTTGTTTTACTAGGTCACCCAATGATTATGCAATCGAATGAAATTGTATTTGATAGTTTTCTCTTGAGAAATAAATGATAATTTTCTGTTGTGGATTTGCTCGCAAGGATTACATAATTAAATAGAATGTATTATTCTTCAATTGTTCCTTTTGGTTTCAATTATTAGTTGGGATGCTTCCTTCATAATTTTTTTATTTCTCTTTAAGACTTTATATGTTACTATTTTGCTTTCAAATAATGATAGCAATAATTAAAGCGATGTTAATAATTGATTATTTAAATAATTTGCATTGATTAATTGTTCAATCTTTAATCAATCCGTCTGGACAAGTTTCGACGATCCAATCAGCATTTCGCTTCCAAACATTATACACGGTGTATTTTTGGATTATGTTCAATAATGGAATCCAAGACTCACTGTTCATCCAATGTATTTAAATATGCTAGAATCGTAGTGTTGTCAGCTGAATTGATACTGAAACATAACATTTATCAAATCAAAATTATCAAAGCAATGTCTGCCAACCAAGTGAATTCCGACAGCCACAAAGTTATATTCAACATCCATGATATTTAATCGGAAATGCAAGTATTTATGTTTGCTATTGATTGTTACTTAGCAAACAAATGATCAGGAATGAAAATGAATATCATAAAAATAATTATTGAACTATCTTATTCTACTTATTATTCCATCATCATCATCATCATCATCATCATCATCATCATCATCATCATCATCATCATCATCATCATCATCATCATCATCATCATCATCATCATCATCATCATCATCATCATCATCATCATCATCATCATCATCATCATCATCATCATCATCATCATCATCATCATCATCATCATCATCATCATCATCATCATCATCATCATCATCATCATCATCATCATCATCATCATCATCATCATCATCATCATCATCATCATCATCATCATCATCATCATCATCATCATCATCATCATCATCATCATCATCATCATCATCATCATCATCATCATCATCATCATCATCATCATCATCATCATCATCATCATCATCATCATCATCATCATCATCATCATCATCATCATCATCATCATCATCATCATCATCATCATCATCATCATCATCATCATCATCATCATCATCACCATCATCATCATTAGAATTGTTACCGTTAATTATGATTACTAATTTTCAATTATTCATTGAAATCAGTAATGGAAAAAGATAAGATTTTATTAAATTTTCTTGTAAAACATCTCTAGAAGTTTGTATTTATTCACTATAATGTCAATTTTAAATCAGATTTCTGACATGTTTTGAATAATGAATAGGAATTATGGAGTATGATATTTAGTGACAGATAGAACAGATTAATAATGAATAACAGACTTATGAAACTGAAAGTAAAGATCTTATAACAAATTAAAGATCGAAGATACGACTACAAGACGAAAGATTTCGATGTGATTCTACATGTGGGTAAATGAAGTTTATTACAAGTGAAATCGGGAACTAATTAAAGGTAATTTGATCTTGTATCAGTTTCATCAGAAGATTTGAAGAATTTCAGATCAGTTCTTCTAGATTGTGTTTATTCAGTTGTCGTAGATTAAACTGAATCAACTAGGTTATTTAATCGAGAATCACTTGAAACAACATAATGAAATAAAGATAGGTATTGATACTCTTCTTATAGAAGCAGATCAATTGCCAAGATTGTTTTAACAAAATATTAGTAATTCTGTCAAACAAAAAAGTGATCTAAATCGATAGGTGATAAGAATAAGGTGTAAATAATTGAAAAAAGACTCATCCAAATATTGATTTAATTCAAATGTAACTAATAATTATATCAAAATCGTTTGAAGAGTTGAAATCTGCTGGATCTGGAATACTTCGCCTTCATACTTCATCTAAAAAAACACTAACAAAAAATCATTTGGTCCAATTTTTTGGTAGATCCAGATGTACCTATCATATCATTGCTATATGTCTATCTTATTATTGTAAACAACTTAGTAGGAAAGTCTTTAAATGCTTTTAGAGAGCTCTTCTGAATAAATTGAGTCCATTAAAAGTATAGATGAGCTCTTTTTTTTACATATCTCCTTTATTTGTAAACTTTCTACTGAATAGCCTAGTATCATTCATTTCGAGTTTTATTTGAATTTACGGATTGGATACGATCATAACTAGATCTTATCCAAAGGATATAATTGTCAGACGTACTTCGATTGTACATTCCAGATTCAACAACAAATTCTGCAATTGATAGTTTTGATGATGTTGCAACGAGATCGTCATTAGACACAGTATCGGTGAACTTTTTTCAAACAGTATTCATAACAAGGCCCTTACGAAGACAACAAAAGAGTTAAAGATACATAGGCAATAAGCTGATGGCATATTTATTGTTCGTGGCGAAGGTTGTGACTGAAGGTTTACTGAAAACTTTTAATGACCATCACCCATTCATTCAATGTACTGTGAAAACGAAGTAGAATCCAGTAATCTGTTTCTATAAATTTTAACCACATTAAGTTATATTGTGAATTTAGGGAGGTCTGTCTATAAGAGATTGACTCGAAACTTACAAAAAATGATCTTGTTTATTCCATCAGTTCTCGCACCATGAAAATATGCACAAAATACAAAACAGAAAAATAACTTCTACAGCTTAAACCTAATTTTACTCACGATAGTTATTCTCTAAAGTTTGATAGTGATATATGTGAAAGATATCAGAAGTGATTCGAAATTTATAGTTGCACTGAAAAAGAATATATACACCAGTCTGGAATGTAAGTGTAATATTTCTAAAGTAACCCTATATAAATATTGACCGACATTTTATGAACCTTCACTGAGAATACCCTACACTAGGATCTAAATGGTGAACACTTGTATACAAGGCAAATTATCTCATTGAAGCAATTTCATAAACGTTCATTTATTCACCTGTTTCTATGGAGTTGTTCATATAAGGTTTTCATATAAAAAATACCTTATAGCCACACAGTATCGAACTCATGGTTTAAGATAATTTATAAGATCATAACAAGACTGCCTGAAGGCGCATTTAATTATTCTTCGTAGAAACATTGGTGATAGAGCCAGGTATAAATATACAGAAAACAATCCTTTAGGTCACTTTTTTGACATAGTTCTAGATCCCTCTATAATTCTGTATTTCTCTCCACTTATTGTTTTGTGGTGTTTTGTTAACTGTGACGACGGATCACGGGTGAACCCGAGGAAGCTGTAGAAGACTCAAAAGAAGCCGAAGATATTCTATCCAATCACCCTTTGGTGGAATATTCTAGAATTCCTACGCGTAACTTCCTGATTGGACAACGCTAATAACCCCCTGTATTCGGATTGCTGGACTGTAATAATGATTTTGTTCTTACTAAAAACTATAAATACCTGACAATTTTGTACTATAATTGACACCGTTTGGAATAATGTTCCTTTCATCAGTCTTCTGTCTTCTTATTGCGACCTGGAAGGGTTTTGGTGTTCTAGTGCTCAGTTATACGCGGTATACCAAGAAAACAACCTTCAAGATATAACGTTAACTATTTATTACTTCTAAATCCACCAACAATCACTCATTTGATTCTCTACATTATTATTATTCAATCTATTTTAGTCTCATTAATAATAATATTCATTTACCGACTTATAAAATCCGACCAAAACCTCATATGCTGTAGTTGTGTATTTGACCCTCAGTCTAGTTTGTCTGATGTTTTATAGATTTCAATACTGAAATAAACTTTGATAATAATTAATAATGACAACATTTCAGTCACAGTTACTCTGTTATGTAAGAAAAAGAAAATAAACATTTCATTACATATTTATTCATTGAAGTATATTATATTGTAGACAAATACTTTAATCACATCTAGCACTAGTCTAATTAGTTCATTTATTTCTAAGTGAGGTTTTATTTTTTTTTCTTTCAAAATGTTGTACACCATGATTGATTTATTCAGAATTTTCTTAGTTGTGAATGTTTTATTATGCAAATTAATGTTTATTTTCTCTTTTGCAAATAAACACATTTCTTGATGATTAATTGTAAAACTTTGATTTATTCATAATTTACACATTCGACTTTTATTCAAGTTTTAAAATCCAGTCAGAAACCTCTTTTGAAACCTAAGTATCCAGATAGAATTATTAGCCCCTTATATATATATATATATATATATATATATATATATATATACATTACCCCTATGATCAATAGTCTATGCATAGTTTATATCTTACTTAATGTGCTTTGTTATTGTTATTAAATATCTTGGTAGATGTTTATAATATGCCTACATTGTTTACTAGTAAATAAATAATTATGACTGAATTTTTTTCTGTCTGCCTAATCTTCACCAAAGGTTATGTCTAATTTTCTTGTGAAAATATTAAAATTAGGCCAATGATTGGATTTCTAGTAGTTACTATATTTATTTATCTCCTAACCTATTCTTGATTGTTTTGATTGAGATCACGAACCGACTAATGTTAGACCGATACTGAAAACCGAAAAGCACTGGACGGCCGATTCGTCCTATTGTGGGACTCCTGACACGCGGGCTTCGAACCCAGGGCCTTCAGTCGCACGTGCGTACGCTTAACCTATTGGACCACTGAGCTGGCCGGCATCCAACGGTGTTACTGTCTAACCCCAACCAATCTACGAAATTGCGCGACCATCTTCCAATGTACTGAGGTAAATCCCTGTCTCTATCCGACACGGATTAGCTCCACTGGTCACTGTTGAAGAGTACCACAATAGGACGAAATGGCCGTCCTGTGCTTCCAGGTTTTTAATTGTGGTCTAACACTAGTCAGTTCATGATCTCAATCAAAAAACGCAATAGTCTCCACAAACTCTATACTGATATTCTTAATTTAACAGAAAATATATAGCTAAATAAAATGCATTTTCCTTTATTTTAATGTGAAAGAATTATCTTTAAATCTCTTCCATGTACATTTGCAGTGTAACTCATCCCAATATCATCGATAAGAAGCTCAAATACAGTTAGGAGTTGAAATGAAATCTTCTGTGACAACTACATTCAGGTATGTAGTACATACTAAAGAAATGGGAAAATAACCGAAAATTCTGAACACAACACAATGAATATTGTGTGTAAATTCAGGTTTTTAGGTATTTTTGAACTAAATTAAATTGGAAAAAGCCTTAATAAATGAAGCTACTTTGCTTCAAAAACTTATGTACCAATAAGAGTAGTTTGCTCATAAACTTTTTGATAAAGAACTAGCAGTAATAATAATAGTGAAGTGAACGAGAACACAGGTGGGGACAACTAAATACACCTTAATACACTGCAGAATATCTTGCAAAATTTTGAGAACCATACAGTAAATACTTGTTTTGCAAAATATCCATCAACTATCTCAGACTTTGTTACTCCTTCGTTTCTACACCAATCACACTCTGCTCTCATTCTCTTTGATTTTCTCAACCTTCTGCCGCCAGCCATTACATTTTCGACTAGCGATACATACAACTTTTATCTGTCGACATCAGTAGCATACATCACAGTATTCCTGCCTTAAAGAGTTCGAATCAAGCAACGGATAAAAATCATGAAATTTACGATAATGAATAACTACATCATTTGTTAATAAAATCTGTTTACTGTCACTTTGCATTTTCATTAAAACCACTCGATTGAATCATAACTAAATGTAATCGAATACACGACAATTTCATCATATCAGAAAGGGTTTTGTGGAGATTTTAGAAATTTCACTGATTGCAATCATGAGTCAATTAAAGCTAGACGACCATGGAAAATCTGGAAGCACTGGTTGGAGTCCCATACTAGGACGAAACGGCCGTTCAGTGCTTCCAAGTTTTCCATGGTGGTCTAGCTTCAATTGACTCATGATCTCAACTGTTGAATATATATATTAAAGACATGTGTAATCGTAACCGTGGCCTCTTTACCAAAGGAAATGAACTAGACACTACATTTCTCTAGACTTATTTACTAAATGTAACATAAATTGAAAATATTTCAACTCATTGATTGAAATAGATTTTTGAGTGTTCCCTTAAAACTTTCAATCATCATGATACATAATTTTAAAAACTCTTCAAAAAAAAATTTCTTTTTCTATTCCAACAAATAAAGTTTCCTGGTACATATAAACACACACCCATACACAAGACTGATATTTTTGGTCAGTAAATGTGTATTTGTATGTCATTTGTGTAATACTAATAATAATAATAACATTGAAAGATACAAGCAAACAATACCAAATGGATAGAACGAGAGAGATGATAATTTGTTGATAGATTTTCCCAACTTATATGAATATCATGTAAGTGAAATGGGTTACTGTGTTCGTAATTTTGAGTTTTTATAAATCATATATACATACATATATATATCTTGTAAACATACTTCATATATAAAGCACCAAAGTACATTTCTTATAGGAAAATTGACGCTATAAAAGAACAAGAGAACAACCAATATAACACATACCTTTTTCCATACACATATTTCTATAAAGATCTCTTTTTACCAAAAAAAAATGTTAATTTTTGTATGTATCTAAACTTTTTTAATGAAATAGATAATTTATCATTTAAATAATATTTAGTACCATGCACATAGCTACAATATGTGAATTAGATCCATACCATAAATCCTATACTCACGTGTTTCTATCAGACATACAAATAGATATTAGTCTGACCAATGAAATTCACAAATACTTTTTTGATTATTTTTTCAATAGACGAATAATAATAATCATCTTAGTGTATGTATGTATGTGTATATCAGTAACTATATATATATATATTATGTTAATTAAATTGTCATTTTACAGATCTATTAATGGATCAAAAAATGTTGATCAACTTTAACCACATAAATGGATCATTGTAATGAGAAGTTTTATAATGTTAAAACAATTTCAATTTATTTATGGATTGTCAATGTCCAATAATATGAGATTATAAATACGTCTTTATACATATATAAATACATACCTATACATATACACGTACTATATATAACTCATGCAGGATGTAATTTGATCTTATCTCTACTACTACTACTACTACTACTACTACTACTACTAATAATAATAATAATAATAATAATAATAATAATGATTGTTATTATTATTAAGCCTATCATACTATGAAAAACCATGTGGATACTATTTGTAAATACAATTAAATATTGGAAATTAACCATGAATTATAAAATAAACTTTAAATAAATAAAATCAACAGTGATAAAATTGAAATTTATTTATGAAAAATAAAATGAAACAATTTTGGACTAACACAAACACAATCAAAATATTGATCGTAATCAATAAATAATAGAAAATAATAATGCTACCAATTGAGGATAATATCACTAGTACCACTACTACTACTACTACTCCTAATCATAATCATAATCATACTAATATGAATAAAAGTAAAGAATTGCTCTTTTCAACACCATTTGTAAACACAATGATTATAATTGGTATTTTTTTAACTATATGCAGTATTTGTACAATAATTGGTAATCTTTTAGTAGTTTTAGCTATTGGATTAGTCAAAAAATTACGTACACCAAGTAATTTTTTAATTGTTAGCTTAGCTGTAAGTGATTTATTAGTTGGTTTATTAGTTCAACCATTAGCTACATTACGTGAATTATATGGTTATTGGCCATTTGGTGAAGGTATGTGTGATATGTTTATTTCATTTGATGTATTAATGTGTACAGCGTCAATTTTAAATTTATGCGCTATATCAATTGATCGATATTTAGCAATTACTCGTCCATTACGTTATGCAGCAAAACGTACACCAAAGCGTATGATGATAATGATATTAATAGTATGGTTATTTTCAGCATTGATTAGTATACCACCAATGTTTGGATTTAAAGAACCATTTGTTACTGGTTTATGTGAATATAGTTCAAATATTATTTATCAAATCTATGCTACATGTGGTGCATTTTATATTCCATTAATTGTAATGCTTATATTATATGGACGTATACTTATATTAGCACGTAATATGGCACATGCTGATGCTAAACAACAACGTGTTGCGGAATCAGTTACACAAACTAATGCACATAATTCCTTAGAAAGTGAACCACCAGAACAATATATGCAAAAATTAAAACAGACAACTGCGACCACAACCAACATGGTGGAAAACAAATCTGACGTGTTATTACTGCCTAATAATGAACAGAATAACATTGTCTATTCATCTAGTAACGCTAAGAAAGAGAAATATCCTTTACCCCCCTCAGAATTATGTCGAAGGCGTAAACCACGTCCATTGAGAAGACTTAGTTACGGTGATGAACTCCTTATTAAAAAATCATTGGATATTAACGTGAAGAATGTGAAAAAACCGACTGGTACTTCGGAATGCTCATCTACGTTGTCGTCTATTGAACAATTTGAACAACATGTTAAAGAATTGAAACAGTTAAGAGCGGAATTTTTCGCCGCACCATATACACGACATTCGATTACTATTAATATAACACAATTAAGAAATCGTAATGACCAGAAAGAGAATGAAAATTTATCATCTTTAAATACTTCTACTTTTAATAATAATGATAGTTTACAACAACAACAACCGGTGACATTGATACCTAAAAATAAATCTCTATTATTAACTGATTCTAACCGATCGAGAAACTCAATATTTTCACCACCTTTCTTATCAGTATCACATTATTTTGATGGATCTAGTTATATGAATAGCTTAACACAAATTTCTGAAGTTGCACCAAATCCATATACTCTTAATGATAATCTGAGAGATGATAATAAAAATAACCTCGAGGAATATAGTAGTAATTTAATGTTAACATCACAAGAAACTACTCCATTAATAGTTAGCAGTACTGGTATGCCATTTACTCCAGGTATTGGTGATATAAAGAGTGATTTTTACTATCCATCATCATTCGGTACACCGTTAATTGGACCTAAATTTACTACAATGCATCCGGCACGCCCGCGACAGAGACCATTTCATACACCAAGAAGATCATTTACTACAGCTAATGAATATATACCCATAAATCGTCCATTTCTATTAGATTTACCTAATTATACAATTGATCGACGATGTAGTTCACCGTCTACATCACATAATTTTCCTTGGAATCATATTATTAATCGTAATGTTAAAAAAGATGCACAAAACTCTTTGGGTTTGTTTACAAATACCCGGACAACTACAACCACTACTACAATTACAAACGATAACGAAAATACAACGACTACCAATGATAATAATTATAATACCGGGAAAGTTAATCACATCAATATGCATCAAATGTCTTTCAGTTCTAATCAGACTGAAAATTTTATCATGGCTAATCAACCAGGAAGTCTAGTTAGCTCAAATTGGGTGTGTCCTAAATTACCACCGGTGAAAAAACGTAATTCACGTCATCAAAATGAATCAAAAGCTGTTAAAACACTTGGAATTATTATGGGATGTTTTTGTTTATGCTGGTTACCATTTTTCATTATTGCAGTAAGTTTTATTTTAAAAATTATTATTATTATTGGTATTATCCTATATTAAAAGTACATGGCAGTATGGTAAATAATTTTACATTATAACCGATATATTATGATGTTATTTATTACCGTTTTTTGTTTATAAAACCACTTATGGTGATCCATATATTTTGTCCAAATATAAATGAAGGTAAATAGATTGTTTATAAATCACAAATAAAATTCTTGAATTAAATACAAACATTCTGTTCAATGAAATTACTCAATTGAATGTTGAACCTATAACCTTCTGATAGAACTTTGATTAGATTTACTTGCGCCTGTTACCCTTCGTGGAGGAGTATAGGCCGCTTACAAGCATTCTACATTCATCTCTGTCCTGGACAATCATTTGCAGTTGGTTCCAGTTGCTATTCATCCTTTTCATGTCTACTGCCGATTCTTAAAGCAGTGTGTCTTTTGGCCTTCCTCTTTATCGTTTCCCATAAGTTTATGTTATTAACAATCTCATTTTTTAAATATATTCAACAATGGCTTCAATTTATTTTCAATAAACCTAAAGCGTAATATTAATTGAGACAAATTTCCTTTAAATAATCTAACTGATTCGAGAATTAATATACAGGTTATTAAGTTCATTATGTTATTCACATATTATTATTAGTATTCTATAGTTAATTTCGTTTATGGAATAGTTGATCAACGAATATAATATTTAAATAAAATTTAGAATGAAAATAGAATTAAAATGTGAAATAATGCAGGAAATTTAGTTGATTGCCTCTTAATGGAGAAGTATTCATGTACTAGTAATGTTCAGTATCGATAGAACCAAAGTCCTACCATCGTGATTAGTTAATTTAACACTCAAAAAAACGCATCAACTTATCACTATTCATATTATTACTACAGTTCTTTATTCACGTCTGTAATAATAATTCTTATATCATTCAGTGTTCCCGTTGTTAATATTTTTAACGGGATTTCTGACCAATCTTTGTTGACATCCAGGCATTTTACAGTGACTGCTTTTATGTTGTCATTTGACTTCAGCACGAACACCAACATTAGGATACAAGCCCCAAATAGAACGAAACAGTCACCCTGAATTTCACTGTTAGTCACAATGAGTCTATTCTACGTATTAGTAGTAGTAGTAGTAGTAGTAATAATAATAATAATAATAGCTAATGTTATATTTCACTTGATTTGGCTTTATTAAGAAGGACGAGATTTAATTTGATAGCCGAAAGTCAGTTGTTTAAATAAAGTTGTCAGTTTCACTTTAATTATTAATCATACTTTGAAACACCATTTTTTGATTTTCTAGTAACCAACTAAATTTATTTTTAGATTTAGTCAGTTAAATATCAAAACCAATATAAATAAAAATAATATATTCGTAATATCCTAATAAATAGAAGAATTAAATTTTCTGACGTTTCGTAACTCAGTGTAAGGCACTTCTTTAGGAGATAAATAACTAAATTAAATCAATTCAAGAATAAATAATACTATGATACTAGTACCGAATGGTATTATTTAAACTCGGATTAATTTAACTTGGTTATTTATTCTCTGAAGAGGTGCCTTACACTGGGTTACGAAACACCAGAAAACTTGTAAACTTAATTTCCCTACTCATTAGGATATTACAAATATAATATACCTAATGATCAATTTATTTGAAATTATCAAGTCAAACGTTGGTAATGATACCTATCAAAACCAATAGTTTATTATTTCGTTAATTTTTTAAACAATTATCAGATTGATGATTGACTGATAGATTTCAATTAGCGTAATTTCATAACTGTATTAATTTGTTCAATATTTTATCATTACTTGTTTAACAATCTAATTGTCAATCCATCACATAATAATTTTATAATGAATAAAAAGAAAAGTTTGTATCTATTATTTCAGTATGTTAAAAGTGTTTAAAAATGAATAATTATGAACTAGAGGATAATTTAAAATCTAATCGTCTTGGGCATCTTCTATGGGAATAAGTCCACTTGTGTTTTTATTTTCAATTATTATCAATCTTAATATCTACTTAACAACTGGACAAGTGGCAGCTAACTGAGTATATATCTTTATTGAACACTAGTTCTATTTTAACATATATTCCGTTAGTAACTTCTATGTGTAATAGGAAATATATTCAATCATCTTTTCCTACATAAATAGGTGATATCTGTGCGTCTCCATTGTATAAGACACCTGAGTCATTTGCTACATATGCCTAATCACCCCATTTCTTGGCACATGATATTAAGTGATTTAAAAGTAGGTTGAAAAAAATGCTAGCTGCCGTCGAAATCAGTCTTTGTACTACTCATAAAGTCGCTGACTGTTCGTCTGTTAATTATTGATATATCCAGACTATCTGATATGGGCACTCTGAATAGTTGTCAATGACTAGTCACTATGTTTAACACTACAAAAAATAAATCACAACGGTTTAGATGCATCATTTATATTACTCCCCTCAGACACTGAGTTTTAATATTATTCCATACTTTCTATTCCGTAAACACATTCCTTTTTTTCTAAAACGGTTTCTGTATTTTTAGCCATATTTGCATAATCGTAAATACTCATATTACTTCGGCCATCTTTTAATTCATTCTAATACTTCCATCTGTTTAAGTTAATGTCAAGTGGAAATTTGAATTGGCGTAAATCTACAACAGTTGTTAAGTTTGTAGGTATCATTAACAAGGTTTGACTTGATAATTTCGAATAAATTAAGCATTGGGTAGATTTTTATAAATAAATAAATAAATAATATACTTATAATATCCCAACGAATAGAAAGATTAGATTTCGTGACGTTTTGTGACTCAGTTTAATCACTTCTTCAGAGAATAAATAACTAATTTATGATGGACTTTCTACATTCATCATAGTGAACAGGTTATGTAGACAAATGTAGTGTCGGTTTTTCTTTAAAAAAAACCATTTTCAGCATCTTAAATAAACTTTCATTAGTTATTGAAGCCAACGAAATCCTTATTTTGATGAAAATTATATTCATGGTTTATTACGGATTTATTTGATGAAATTTACGCATTCACTAATTATCCTTATACATAATCCTTTTTTATACATTACTATCATTGAAGTGACTACTTCTATGAATTTGGTGTTCATCTTGTTGTGCTAACGAAGTATAGCAACTTGAACCAATGCTTATATTTACCTGGTCCTATATTGTAACTGACTAATTGATTGACTACTAAACTTATAATAATACCATATATATTAGATGATAAAAGTAGATCTCTACCCATTTTACATTGAAAATATCTTATTTTAAATCAAATAATGATAAAACAGTCGTTTTTTTCTTTTGAACAAAAAGAGAACTCTTCGCTGAACCAATCTTTCTTATTTACTGTCATAATGAATGTATTTCGTTTACTAAACTAATTTTGAAGCGAATGGTACTGGGTTCAAGTCCCAGAGTGAACATCAACTCTGAGATGCAAGTACATCCAGTTGATGAGTCCCAAATGGGACGAAACGCGCGTCCTGGATTCCACTGCTAGCCACTATCCATCATTGCTTAATTTTCAACCTTTTACTTTTAACAAATAAAACTCGATGAAATGATCATTTTTATAGGCAAATGATCATATTCATTAATTTATTTATTCTGTTTATTACTTTTTAATTATCTTCTCTCAGCATTTAAACTAATAAGCATCTTATCATTATCATTTCAAATTTGTTAGTTAAGACCGGTATTTCTAATATTGATTTTGTAATTATTATTATACATTAAATGGAAGTTGTTGTTCTTTTTTTTTCTTTCTTTAAAAATCAATAAAATTTTTACCAAATTTAATTGATTCATATTATCATTTATATAATATTTGTCATTAATCGAATGATTATCTACATTGATTGAAAAATCAATAAAGTATATTCCATTCAATATATTATGTGTTATATATGAAACTTATATATAAGAATATTGTATTCATAATGATCATTAACGATTTTTTTTTTGTTTTACTTCATATGGGATCTTTGAGGATGTGTATTACTGAAAGAACTCAGACTGGGTTAATGAATTGTTCCAGTATTATTTGATTTGCAGTAGTTTTTCCAATAACATCGAGCACAAATTGAATTAATTTTCACAAGTTACCCAACTAAATAATGATGATTCATAGTTTATCAGTAGTATTTTCAAGTAACCATATGAACTTATTGATTTTATATGGTTCTTCTAATTAAAGTATCAATTATGCTAATAGAGAATACATTTCTTACTAAAATTCATTGATCAATGTATTGTTTAATCAAACAAAATTAAAGTTTCCACAAGTTGTTGTTTTCTCCGCCTCCCTCATATTTGACTTATCCATGTAAAAAATTTGTTTATTGCACAGTGGAAACAAAAAGGAAGTATGTGGAAGAATGACGGCAATTATAACAAGAACAGAAACAATAAATAACATGGAAGCCGATAATACTTTCTTACTTATACTTGTTTCATCCAATTTAGAAATTTATTGATCTTTCTTTATATGTTTAACTGACCATTTTTAATCTACGTCTCAGTTCGACATTTTATACTATTTTCAGACTAGTAATTTACTAAAGAGATTTATAATATGAAAACAAAACGTTTGTTTTAAGATGTTTTTTGTCAAAAATGAAGTCATATGGATAAGCTACCCACTATATCTCTGAATATATTTATTTATTTCCTCTACATGTTATATGGATATTTAGCTGTTCATCTTATCACATTAGTTATACGATCACAGTAAATCTTTCAACTGAGAAGAGTGAGTTACTAGTTGAGAGTTATCAATCAACAGTTTTACTATATATCTCATTTATTACATATTCTATTTCTTAATGTTCATTATATGGTTTGTTTAACTGCCTTCATTCAGTCAGCTATGTTTGTGCTTCTCTATTTTCACCTATTCGTTTGTAAATTTATAACCAAATTCAATTATTTTGTTAAGATTAAACAAATACCAAACA